GTTCGCGCATGCACAACGACGCAAAACCTCACAACTAGCAACCCTCACCAGTAGCAGCAGCGGTAGCAGTAGTAGTAGTAGTAGTAGTAGTAGTAGCAGCAGCAGCAGCAGTAGTAGTAGTAGTAGCAGCAGCAGCAGCAGTAGTAGTAGTATAGTAGTAGTAGTAGTAGTAGTAGTAGTAGTAGTAGTAGTAGTAGTAGTAGTAGTAGTAGTAGTAGTAGTAGTAGTAGTAGTAGTAGTAAGGTAGTAGTAGTAGTAGTAGTAGTAGTAGTAGTAGTAGTAGTAGTAGTAGTAGTAGTAGTAGTAGTAGTAGTAGTAGTAGCAGTAGTAGCAGTAGTAGTAGTAGAAGTAGAAGTAGCAGCATTAGTAGTAGCAGCAGCAGTAGTAGTATAGTAGTAGTAGTAGTAGTAGTAGTAGTAGTAGTAGTAGTAGTAGTAGTAGTAGTAGTAGTAGTAGTAGTAGTAGTAGTAGTAGTAGTAGTAGTAGTAGTAAGTAGGAGTAGGAGTAGGAGTAGGAGTAGGAGTAGGAGTAGGAGTAGGAGTAGGAGTAGGAGTAGCAGCAGCAATAATAGTAGTAGAAGTAGCAGAGGCAGTGGCAATAGCACAGTAGCAGAGTAGCAGAGTAGCAGAGAAGCAAAGTAGCACAGTAGCAGAATAGCAGCGTGGGAGAGTAGCAGTAGCAGCAGTAGTACTAGTAGCAGTAGTCGTAGTACCAAGTAGTAGTCACACATGTCACAATAACCATAAGATATGCCTCATGCAGCCCTTTCGCAGACTGAAGACTTGCACGGACTCTGCACACATCAGATCTTGAAAGGTTCAAAGACGGCAAAAACTCTCGTGTGAGTCGTTCGAAGTATGTTCGCCCCTGCGTGCTTTGGATCATTAGTCCACGGGCGCCTCAAAGACTGCGAACCAAAGAATCCGAATGCTGGGATCATGACTGTGTTGTCAGCGCCCTGCTCGCTACAGACTCTGCCATTGACTCCTCTCTGCTTGGCTTGCAGAAGTTAAGGCCTGTGGTCGGGGGCTGACGGTTTGATGATGGTACTGAGTGTACTCCAGGATTCCGGGTGACGTTCGGACTCACGTGCCTTACCATGTCGATGGACCGGCAAGAAGACTTTTGTGGTTGGTTCGATGTGGTTGGTTCGACATCGAAAGATCAGATCAAGGTCAGCATGCATGTCGGTGACCTACCAGCAACGTTGTGTACCGCGAAAGCGGCACATGGTCATGCCTTGAATGCCGCTGCATTTGCACGGGTCCCGGCACGATCAAAAGCCCGGGTCCACACTGGTTCGGTTTTTGCCGGCGGCTTGTATCGCAGAGCGCGTGCAACCTCTCCTGGGTTCCAAGATCGAGGTCTGGCCAGCGACGTACGGACGCCGATGTTGCGCTTGCTGCATTGGTACACGACACCATGCGCACGACACACGCTGGCTCTGCATCACGCCGGCCCACTCTTGACAGAAAACCCAGGTTTATATCACTTAGGACTAGAATGCAGCCCGAGCCCTAAGTGATAATTACTGGTTCGTCGAGCTGCATGACTGAACCGAAAATTTCTCTGAATGGCAGGAGATTAGCTGCCCATCCTAGCCATCCAGCATGCGGACTGCAGTTGGAACGCAGGGGTTTGATGAGGTCCTGCCGCAGCTGCGCCGAGGCTTCACGCAGCCTGAGTGGCTGAGCAGATCAGATTCCACGGGAAAGTTAAAGTTCAAGACCCGCTTCTGTAATGGGATTTCCGTATTATTGTTGTGCTCGCTGCCGTTTACCCCGCTCCAACGTCCCGCATTGCTCAGCTCTTTCAACTTGTCAAGCTTACTCAACATCACTGCTAGTGACGAGTCAGGATCAACCAAGCTATCCAATGGTTCAGGCAAAGCTGTCTGCGTAGCCCTAACATCTGCGACACAGCGCTATATCAACAGCCACCCGTCTTCCGGGGACAGTCTCTACAGTGCAGAGCTTCCCTTCTCGCCCCAAGTTCAGACAGCAACTATGGCGACTCAAAACAAACGGCACGGGTCTGAAGTTGTAAGGCCCCTGCTCCACGAGCTCCCCCTCAGCGAGCGAGAGCCTCAAACAGCACGACGGAACGGTTCCACTAGGCGCTCACTTCGCTTGGCAAAGGTAATGTTGCCTTTGTCAACCTGCAGTGCGTATTATGTCCTTGGCTTAGGCTCGCCTACTTTCTGAGAACTGGGCTTGCGCTGCGCCGCTTCAAGTGCCTCCTCCCGACCTGCCACGGCCTGAGCGCAGAGAAGTAATCGCTACCCCGTAATAGCAAGACCCCCCAACAGAAACTCGCAAATCTTATCTCTACTGTCACTGTTGAGGGGTCGTGCTCTTGTTCCTGCTCTTGCCGTTGCTCCCACTTTAATATTGTTTAGGAAAAAGGGGAGAGGGACTACATGCTTAAACAACGTCTTACCTAGTGGAGCATGGGACTTAGAGCTGACCAGATTATCAGCAGCTGCTGCTACGTGCACCAACTGTCATCGTTAATCCAACATCAGTGAGCCTTCCTGGCAAGCAGCATGTTCGTCATGTTGCTATGTATTCGTACGAGTACATACCGGTTGATGCATGTTTGTCTGCACATAGCTTGGCTTCTGCAGGCAGATTCTCGAGCAAAATCCCTCAACGGTCCTCAACCCCAAACCTTGCTCTTCGAACGAAAGAAGTAATACAGGGGCCTAAATAAATTACCAATACTGTTTGGTGGGCTCCTTATTATAAGCATAGTGATGGGCCCCAAAACCCTATTCAAATTATTCAGACACCCATTATTGAACCCTACTATTGATCCCCTTTTGACCCCCAGGACCCCTTAAAAGAACCCTACTGTAAATTCTTAAGGCCCCTATATTAGACACAGCTGCTAAGTGTCTTCCAAGGCGCGCTTCGAGCCTGGGCCTGCCCCCAGCTGAGGCTTCAGCGTTCAGGGAAGTCTATAGGGTTCGTGGCATCATATCCACAGGTTACGAAGTATATCATATATATATATATAAACAAAATGTACCAGTAGGTTTATATGTACAGTTTAAAACGTATCGATAGACAGACAATTTGTATGAGCAGAAAATGAACAGTGCAAAAAGTATAGATGGAGACATAGACATAGATAGATAGAAATAGATCCTACAAGCACCGATCGCGAACGCAGCTGGCCCCAGCCCCTGCAGCTAGTGGAGAGGTCAATCCGAACCACAAAAGCGGAAACCCACCCAACAACCCTAAACCCTGAACCCTGAACCCCGTTTCTTTGATGTCGGCTCGTAAATTGGGTGCTTGGTTTCGTTGAAGCGTTGTCTCGGACTGATACTGTACAAACGGCATAGAGGCCCGCATCGCTAGCCTCGTTGCCCGTGGACCGACCTACCACACAAGTCCGGATGAACCCTGAACCCCAAATGTTCAACCCTAAGCCCCAATTTGTTTCCCCAGAAGCATTCCTCAAATACGCGCTCTAACGACCAGCTCAATCACCAGGGCCCTGGCGGCGGCTTTGCGCTCCTGATCCCGCTGCTGCACGATCTCCCGGCCTTTTGTGGTTTCTGATCAGACCCGATACTTTCGGAAAGATTTATCCCAGCTTTTAAGAAGCTTAAGGGCAACAAGAGCAGTTAGATATGGTGTTTTGGATCTGGCATTGAAAAAGTGGCCAGCGGCTTGGGGGGATGTTGGTTCAACGATGATTGTATGTCGACTAAATACTCAAGAATTGGAATACACGATCATGATGTTCAATGGCACGCACATGGTATAGTTCCAATTGCTGCCTCTTGGATAGCATATTTCCAGGACTCAAAGTCTCAAGTTGTTGTCCCGGAGCCTCGTACTCAAGCTCGAGCCTTACAACTCTGTAGCTATAGCATGTGCCTGTCGGTGCGCAACATGGAGACCGCGCAACTTTCTTGATTTGGTCTTCAAAGGCTCAAAGCAATTGCTGCTGGCTTTGGGGCTTCAGGGTATATGGCTTTTGCCACATACCAGCCCACGCAGCACTCGAGACTTCCTTCTGCTTTCCGAGCAGCTTTCGTCAAAGGACCTCAACCCTGTGGCTGATATTGCGTCTTGCCGTGATTAATAGGCTCCACTGAACATCAGAAAAGTCTTCAAAATGCACAGGAACGTGAGCACTCCTTCAGCGGAGGGGCTTTCAAGTGCTCCGACCTACACAGTGAAGGCAGCCAGCTCAGTAAAACATCGACAAGGCCTAGAATGCTACCGGCGAGAGACGAATCAGAAAGATACTCTCAGAACTCCACATCGGCAGAGAGATGTAGAACATCCCTGGTCCGCAACGGCAGTATGTGAAGGTGTCGGGTTTCCCGTGTGGCTTGATGTTGTGCTTGTTGCTTTCCGGTCTGCAGACGGGACTCGATAGGAACGACAAGCTTCAACTCCCAGCCCACCGTGCACCCGAATCTGTCTTCTCCCGAATTCTCAGTTCTCCACCTGGTATTATTATTATAGTATTATTGCTATAATAACTATTATTGTTACTACTACTATTACTATTATTATTACCATTAGCTTAGATGGAAGGCCTGCGCCACTCTGCAGGAGCTCGTCACCTCCCAGTGAGCACACGCATCGACAGAGGTGTAATTACCTGCCCTGCACTTCAAAGTAGCCCTCTGCCCTGCTTGCGGAGCTCTTCAGAAAAAATGCCAGTGGGACGGCAAAGGTAAAGGCAGCTAGCCAGTACAGTTTTTGCAAACGAAATTTGTTCGTCTTCGCTTTGGTCTGGTCTTCCTGTCTTGGGCACAGCTTTACAATGAAGTAGTCAAGTTCAGGGGCTTCCACGTCTTGCGGCAAAGAATGACTGGCGGTTGAGCAGGGACTCATTCGGAAAAGGGAAACTGGTTCATAAGTTCACAAGATTTCATCCCATGTTACTATACTAGCATGCGCTAGAACACTTCGATGCCTTCCTCCGAAGTCTGAAGGCACCAGTGCCCGGGCCTGATCTCCCAAGTCGACCGCTCACAGCACTCGGAAGGCCTGAGGACTTTTTTCATGCTGGGCGTAATAACATCTGTGTAAGGCTGTGCCTACAGTACTTCCTGCTCCAGAATCCCTACTAAAGCCGTCCGACATTGTATGGGCGGGTCTTCGAGCTTTTCATGTGTGTCATATAGTGTCGCTTTATTGTGCAGTGGAGGGATTCCAGGTCCTATGTTGTTGGCACCAAATTCAAATCCTCAGGCTGCACTTTTGCTGACCCTCAAACATCCTCAAACCCTAGATGCCCACGCTCCAGGAAAGCAGCCCTCGGCAGTTGTGCAAGCGTGTCTAATACTGGCGTGCATAAGTCTGCTATAAGCCTTTCCAGCTTGAAAGCCATATGTCAAGCAGGAAAATGCGGCCTGGCCTTGCCGGGCGCCACGGCCTGCAGCAGCTCTTCGTCCCAGCGGCAAAGCTCCGCAACCTCCATCAAGGCTTAGCACGGAACGATAGTGGTTGGAATCCGAACAAGATGCAATTTAATCTAAACCGTTGTTCAAATCAAATTCCTCGAAGCTTCTTCTCCGAGCAGACGGGTCGGAGTTGTCGTTCGGGACACTACGGCTCATCGCAGTATCAGGATCATGTTCTGCAAAGCTCTGAGCAATAAGGAGTCTATGAAGCGATGGATCTGGACCATGGTGTGATACTCTGCGGCTGGTCTCAGCCCTTGTGTGCATCTACCTAAGCTACATACGCTTCACACGCACCCAGGTCTCGTTTACCACGGTAGACGAGGCTAGCATTCACACAGTTTAGAACAACAGCTTGAGCAGAAAGACATCTCCCTGCCAAACACCTCAGTACTACTTAGTTTGTCTAGCCACCTTAACACATGCTGAGTCCCCACACCACGAGAATCCTGGGTGTCAGCGCACCTCGATTCTTAGTACCTCATTCGCGTGCAATCTTTTTGTAGCTTTACAAAACATTGTAAGATGTACGCCACACTGCTGGTCATCCCTGCTCTTCCAGACTTGTAGCAATTCGCAACATTCCGCAACTAACTTCCGGCCCAACCCGAAGCAGCTAAATTCAAGCCAATGCTGGGCAGAAGCCCAGAATCCATGGTGCCTGGGCGCGAACACCAGCGACCCAGTCGACGCTTTCGACATCCTCGCGGTGCTGCTGCGTGGCTGCAAGTTAGGGGCAGTGCGGCTGGGCGTTGTGAGTTGTCAGGGTTTCGGGTATACGCGCTGGAGATGTAGATGACATGCAAAGCAAATGATTACGTATTACACGTGTCACACATGACTTATGAAGCTTGTGTAGCGATGCCTGATCACAGATGAAAGGGAACAGATGAGCCAAAAAAAACGTTTATGCGTGTGGAGATGTATACGGGATCCCAGGAACGACTTCTACTGCGACACAACCAAATTTTGAGATTCTGAACCACCGCCATAAGTTCATAGATAGTAAGAAACGAATGCAAACCACACACATCTACAGGCAGTCTCATGTGCATGAACATTTTATATACAGATGCAATGTACGCAGCACATGATTCTATGTGTGTGTATATAAATATATATGTAATATGTATATATATATATACATACATACATACATAGATACACATACACACATAAACACATACACACGTACATGTCGCACTACCCAGAGGGTCGGGGATACCTACATTGCACGTGGCGGCTTGTGCCGTGTACGTGGCGTTCCAGGGATGCCTGCACTGCAGGGGGCCGCACCCTAGACCAAAATATGGCGACGTGGCAATCATATTGATGCCTGCCTTGCACGTGGCTCATAGTTGTATGAAACCTCACTTGGAGGTGGCCATCATAACATAGGTATATATATATATATATATGTACAGAAAAACGTGCAAGTGCATCATGTACAGAAAGTCAATCGTGCATGTGTACAGAAACTTCATGCAGGCGCATGCATGCTATATGTACAGAAAAACGTGCAAGTGTACAGAAACCTAAACGTGCATGTGTACAGAAAATTCATGCAGGCGCATTAAACGTGCATGTGTACAGAAACTTCATGCAGGCGAGCATGTATCATGGCAGCATAAGGTTTGGCAACGACGACTGAACCGCAAGCGGTGAGTGTATATACTTTAGAGTAACAAGTGCATGCACATGGGTGCATTGGCATCATGGCTCATGACCGGCTCAAGCCTGTGATGCAGAAAAAAAACCTTAAAACCCTAACACCCTATATCCTTAAAGTTCAGGGAGTTCAGGGACCTGCTACCACTATACTAGCTAGTATTTTTTATATCACCACCACCACCACCGCCACTACCATGCAATACCATTGCCACTATATTGCACTACCACCACCATGCACTTCCGCCATCTGAACCATTCACCACCATCACCACCACCACCACCATGCACCACCACCACCACCACCAGCACCACCACCGCCACTTGCCACCACCATGACTTGCACTACCACTACGGTGCAATTGCCACTGCCACTGCCGCGACTATACTTTCTACTACTACTACTACTACTACTACTACTACTACTACTACTACTACTACTACTACTACTACTACTACTACTACTACCCTGGAAGGAAGGACACCAAAGAGCACAATGATCACCTTTAAGCGAACATTATCTCAACTGCTCAGTGTCCTTTCAACCGGCTCTATACTACTACTACTACTACTACTACTACTCCTGCTGCTGGTGCTGGTGCTGCTGCTGCATGCTCTATATGCTATGTATATATCTACATATACTGTATACACTACAGTGCACTCCGTACTTCTTCTTCTACTATGCTGCTGCAGGCTGGCATGACACCTTTGAACCTTGGGCACGCCTCGCCTACCTGCCTCTGGTCGATAGAGCATGCTTGCAAAGCAACTGGTCGATAGAGCAACGCAGGCCTAAACTTCCCGAAGGCTTAAACTCGAAACCCTATAGCCCTGAACCCAAATCTTTATAAACCCGAGCATTTCCTATAAACCCTGGACCGGACCCTTTTAAACTCGAAGCATCTGCCCGGTCTGGACGAAGAGCGCCAACTCTATATAACCTTCGATAATGTTCCCCATATTCTTTAACCCTAAACCCTACTGAGCCTATAAACTTCACACCCTGGACATTAAATTTTACAACTTACATCCGCGGCCGGACGGCCATGTCATGCCTCGCTCCAGCACCAGACGCCGGGGGAAAGGCAAGATGTTGCAGTTTTCGACTTTCTTCTGCTCAGAAGTGCTGAGTTGAACAGAGCTTGACATGCTGCATGCACCCTGCACGCAAACGCCTGTTGTGACTCAAGGGTGGATCGCATGCAGAATATATAGCTAGCCAGCAGCAGTCCGCAGGATGTTTGAGAGGCTGCGGGTAGACTGCTTCTAAGGGCTGACAGCTTAGCTTTGCCACTCGACCCGTCTCTTAGCCATGTCGCTTGCTGGCCGTGAAAAAGAGATCGAAGGCCGGGGATCGGCGGATTCACAGTACATGTTTTTGTTGTGCTGTTTGTCGCAGTTCATGCCGGCATTGCAGGTGTCTTGAAGAGATATCTGCGAACGGCAGACTTTGTTCGGTGCTCCCGTTCCATGCCGCCGGAAAATACTCTGCTTTACATCCAGACACCTCCAGAGTTTGAAGATCTAGAGACATATTTTCCCTTGGTCGTGGCTTTTGCGGGATTGGATCCACTCTGAAACTTGTTTGCACATATCGTTCTTGCAAAACAATTCTGTCGTACACCTATACATGTGTCCACCAACGGCTGCAGGTGATTTCACGGTTCCGCCTTTACGAAAGGCCTTCTATGATATGGATGCAGAGAGCGGTGCCAGACTGAGTAGAGGCAAGAACAAACGACAACGGACCAAGTGGAGCACCGACGCCTCTTATCAGAACATATAAAGATGGCTGCATGCATGCATGCATATCATGAGTGTTTTCCATGTCTGCACATGCAGATAATAAGGAAGCATATTCCCTTCTCTCCTTGATGTCGTATGCCCGTCGCTATTGGCGATCGTGTTGCAAGAGAGGCACTCAAACTGAAGCCCCTCAGATGACCATTATTGATGATTCGTTGATGCAGTTTCTATCTGTCCTGAAACTTTGCAGAAAGATTTGTGCAGTCGAGGTTGCTTCGAAGCTTCTGGCATGCATGAAAGAAAACCCTGCCAAAGCTCGGCCAACCTGTCGAAAGATTTCGAGCGATTCTATCGGTTCCTCCCCAGCAGGCCATTGCATGCAGTAAATGTGCCATGTATGTATACAAAACCCTGGAGTTTTGACCCCGGCACAGCTCTCGAAGTTCCTGTGTGAAGGCGAGAAGGCGAAGGGCCACGCTGAGACTGAAACAGCTCGTGCTGAAAGACTTCGTGCCACGACTGCAAATTGACGGTCCTGGTGTAGCGAATTGCATTGTTCTCCATGCATGGCATGCCAGGCATCCTGGACACGCCAATCTTTGAGCCCGTCTGCATCAGCGACGACGAGCTCGAGTCTGAAAAGACCGCAGCTCGCGAGCCTGAGACTGCAGCTCCGCCTGCAGTGCCCGCGGAATCTGCCGCAGAAGTGGTGGATCTTGAAGACACGCCGGTCGAAACCGAAGCTTCTGCAGACCAGCTGGTCCGTCTTGAGAGCCTCGTGGAGATCCCAGCTTGTGTAGACCTGCAGCCTGTCCCTTCTGAGAGCCTCGTGAAGATCCCAGCTTGTGCAGACCAGCCGGTCCGTCCTGAGAGCCGAGTGGAGATCCAAGCTTGTGTAGACCTGCCGGTCCCTTCTGAGAGCATCGTGGAGATCCCAGCTTGTGCAGACCAGCAGGTCCGTCCTGAGAGCCTCGTGGAGATCCCAGCTTGTGCAGACCACCAGGTCCGTCCTGAGAGCCTCGTGGAGATCCCAGCTTGTGCAGACCATCTGGTCCGTCTTGAGAGCCTCGTGGAGATCCCAGCTTGTGTAGACCTGCAGCCGGTCCCTTCTGAGAGCATCGACGAGATCGACGCTTCTGCAGACCAGCTGCCACGTCCTGCAGCTTGTGCAGACCAGCTGGGCCGTCTTGAGAGCATGGTTGCCATCGAAGCTTGCGACGCAAGCCTCGCTGAGATGATCGAAGCTTGCACATGTGCAGACCAGCCGGAGCTCATCGCCATCGATGATGATGATGAGGTGCCCTCGACTGCGAAGCGAACAGCGAAGGATGTGGAAGTGCCGCGGATTGCAGTTCATCGTGTATAGATGTGTGCTCTTGCCACTCATGTTTCCAAAAGCATTGCATGCATGCATGAGTGCGAAGGATGGATCGTACAAGTACCCCGAGCCGGCACCCGTTCCTTCCATGGATGACATCTTGCTCAAGGCATCAACTTGCGAAGCCCCGGAGTACAACGAGCAGTCTGCGCCGAAGAGACGCCGCACGAAGCATGCAGTGCCAGATGCAACAATGCCAGATGCACCAGTGCCAGATGCAACAGTGACAGATGCAACAGTGCCAGAGGCAACGGCAAAAGAGCTTTTGGCAGAGATGCAAAACCTTCCGAACCTATGTCGGAAAGCCCTTCTTAAGAAGGGCTGCTACGAGCCCCCCCCACACGTCAAGACGAACCATGTCTATAGCAACACGTATCACTTGTTTACCAAAAGGCATGTGACAGACGTGAAGGGCTTTGCCAGGGCGGCAACAGCTTTGTACAAAAAGTTCCGGCTGGTGCACCCGGGCCTTGTCAGCAGCTTCAGGGCGCCGGTCAGCAAGAAGCCAGCTGCCTAGGTGGGTCCGACTATACCTGGCCGGGCAAAGTAGCCGAGTATAGCCTAGCGGGCCCCCGCCGTTGTCTCTCAACTACTTATAGTCATAAGGCTAACATGCAGCATGATCCGGATCAGGTATGGAAAGGCCATAATTGCCGCTTTTCCAACATGCAGTCAGCTGTTGGCGGCGAAAGTGATGACCTCTTTCGCTGCATGCACTCATCTTCATGCACGAGTCTGACATGAGTGTTCCTAGCTGCCGGCTCTCACGCAAGCGGAGATCATGCATGAGCACATGGGTCATGCATGCACAACTCAGATACTTTTAGGGCATGCCGCCTCGGTCGAAGAACATGAAGCGACCTGCAGCAGCTTTCTGTGCTGCTGTGCCGCAAATGATTCTATTGCTC